GATTCAGATGCCAGCTTCTCTCTGTATCCTCACATGGTAGAAAGAACAAGGGAGCTCTCTGGGGTCTCTTTTACAAGGTCATTAATCTCATTCATGAGGCTCCACCCTCAGGACCTAATCACCTCCCAAAGTTCCTACTTCCTAATACCATCACCTTGGGGCCAGGATTTCAACATGGGAATGTGGGGGGTTTGCCATTCAGTCCATAAATAGCCTCCTAAAGTAAGTTGTTCTTCAGAAAGTGTGGGGCCCAACTAAAATGAAATTAAAACCTGAACCCATGTGGAAATAAAACCCAGCTGTGTACAAGAGTTGTGACAAAGGGCTAGGAGTTGAATGTATTCACTGCCATTTCTGGCTAAGGAAAGGGGATGGCTTACAAAACAGCTTGCAAAAGTATAAACTCCAAAGTACTAGTAATTTAAGAGTAGGTCCAGGGCCCAGAGCCAATGTTCACTGGGGCCTTTTTGTAAAATAAGCTTGTTATTTTGGAAAAAAATTTAACTTACAAGTTGTAAAGATATAGAGAGTTTTGTTTTGTTACTCTTTACCCAAAGTTCTTGACTGTTAACAAACTGCTTATATAACTATGGTACGCTTGCCAAAATTAAGAGATTAACAATGGCATATTTCTAGGAACTAAACTCAAGACTTTATTTGGATTTCACCAGTTTCACCACTAATGTTCTAACCTTGGGCCTTTTTACATAATGTTTACAGCAAGGAGCCAAAGGACCAGAAAGGCAGTAGGACACTAGGTTCTAGTCCCAGCTCTGTTTCATGCTAACTGTAGAACCTTCGAGTTTGTTTTCTGACCTTGTCTCCTCTCTAACATACCTCCAACCCACAAATGCTGATTCTAGACGCAATTCCATCTTACCCTTCATCTCTCTGCCTAAGCACTTCTCTGACAGCTACTAGCTAGAGTGAAGGAAGAGACATCTCCAACTTAGCAGTGACTCCAACTGAGACTCTCCAGTTAGAGAACAGAGTCCCTTTGGGAATTTCCAGATTTCAAAATTGCTTCAAAATCCACATATGTCTCAGATGGTTGGAGGATGGACAGTTAGGGGGCTGAGAAGTACACACTGCAGCAAAGACCAGAGCTGTCCATAAACATCCATTTTTCCCTTCTTCCTGGGTGTGCATTACATTTCTGAGGCTCTCTTGAATTAGGGGGACCATGCAACTAAGTTTTAGCCAACAGAGTGTGAGTGGAAGTTTGCACCACTTCTAGAGCTGGCCCGTTATATCTGCTAAGCAATTTCCCAAGCTCTACTCGACTCACTAAAATGACACCACCCAAAGCAACCTCGGAGGCTGTGTTAGCATTGGCATCAGCCCTAAAAGACTGCCCCTACCACTACCCCAATCTGAAACCACCCTGGACCTCACATGAGTGAAGAAGGAGAAAAAAAAAAAAAAACTTCTATTGTGATAAGTTAGTCCATTTGGTGGCTGTCATGGCAGTTTAGCCTAACACAGTGCAAAATGTCAATTCCATTAGAGCAAGACCTTGCTTCTGGATCCGTGTTCGGGGGCCTCAGGTGCACGGAACTGAGATGACCACATGCCACATTCATCCACGCAAGACCTCTCTTCTGTTTTCCTTTCCCTCCATCATTCCCCCTTCCAGTCCCATTCTGTCCCCTCCCATAGACCCTATTCCAGTGAGTTAAGATGTATATAAACTCCTTAAAAAAATGTTGCTTAGGGTGTTTACTTAGCTGGGTTTTGCTGTAAATTGAATTCTTCTTTATTTTCCTCACCTGGAGTCTATCATGTCACAGCAGTTCCTAACAGCCTGCATCTGACTGCTTTTATAATATTCTATCATATGCATATGCCACATTTCATTTATCAATTCCCTTAGGGACAGACATCTAAGTTGCTTCCAGCTTCTTGCTACCCAAACTATACATAAACATCCTTTTATGTGACTCCTTGTGGATCTGTGCAGGTTTCTCTGAAGGCTATAGCCAGGAATGGAACTGCTTTGATGTATACACATACTAATGCATTAGTTACCTACTGCCGTATAACAAATTACCTCAAAACTCAGCAGCTTCAAACAATAACACCCACAGAATGAGAGAAAATGTTGGTAAACCATGTATCTGATAAGAGACTTGAAACCAGAATATATAAAGAACTCTACATAAGAGTGTGTCTGTGTGTATATGTGTGTGTGTGCACATGTACGCATGACAATCCAACTGAAAAATGGGCAAAGGATTTGAATAAACATTTCTCCAAAGAAGATATATAAAAATGTTAAACAACATCAGGCATTAGGAAAGTGTGACCACTTCACACCCACAAGCACGGCTGTCAATTAAGGCAGAGAGTAACAGGTGTTGGCAAAGGTGTGGAGAAACTGGAACTCTCATACGCTGCTTTGGAAGTTTGGCAGTTCCTCAAAAAGTTAAACATGGGGTTACCTTATGACCTAGCAATTCGATTCCAAGAGAAATGAAAATGTATGCCCATACAAAAACTTGTACATAAATGTTCACGGCAGCATCATTCACAACAGGCCAGAAGTAGAAACAACTCAAATGTCCATCAACTAATAAATGAATAAAATGTATGCTATCCATACAAGTGAATATTATTCAACCAAAAGGAGGAATGAAGGACTTGATATGTACTATAACACAGATGAAACTCAAAAACATTATGCTCAGTGAAAAGAGACACAAAAGGCCACATACTGTATGACAGCCCCATTCACATACTACATGAAATGTCTCTAATAGGCAAATCTAGAGACACAGATTAGATCAGTAGTTGCCAGGGGATGGGGGAGTTGGGGACAAGTGGGGAGTGATGGATGCTAATGGATACAAAGTTCTTATATTCACAGAGTGATCCAAATGTTTTAAAATTAATTGTGGTGATAGGTGCACAACCCTGTGATATCTAAAAACCACTGAACTATACTTCATGGGAAATGAGTAAACTGTATGGTGTGTGAGTTATATCTCAATAAAGCTTTTAAAAAAAATGAACACCTAGGGGCGCCTGGGTGGCTCAGTCAGTTAAGCATCTGCCTTTGGCTCAGGTCATGATCCTGGGGTCCTGGAATCAAGACCCGCATCAGGCTCCCCGCTCAGTGGGGAGCCTGCTTCTCCCTCTCCCTCTGCCTGCCGCTCCGCCTGTTTGTGCTCTCTCACTCTCAAAGAAATAAACAATCTTTTTAAAAAAATGAACACTATTATCTCACTCTTTCTTTGGGTCAAGAATTTATAGCTAAGTGATTCTGGCTCAGGATCTCTCATGAGGTTGTGGTCACATGTCGACTGGGGCCACATTCATCTAAAGGTTTGAATGGAGGGAGAATATCCACTTCCAAGGTGGGTCACTCACACTGATGGGTAACTCAGTGCCGTCTACTGGTGAGAGGCCTTAGTTCCTTTCCACACAGACCTCTCCAGATGACTGCTTGAGTGTTCTCATGACATGGCAGCCAGCTTCTTCCAGAGCAAGGGATCCAAGAAAGTACAAGACAGATTCAGTGTCTTTTATGACCTAGCCTCAGAAGTCACATGCTTCCAGTACATCCTATTGGTTACACAGGACAGCCCTATTCATTATGGGAGCAGACTATACAGGACTTGAATACCAAGAGTCAGGAATCATCAGGGGCCATCCTGGAAGCTGGCTATTAATACTTGATGAATAGGAAGACAAAAATAGTAACAGCCAACAATTTTGTGACACATACTATGTGCAAGCACTGTTCTAAACTCACAATAAACCTATGATGAGGTAGGTACGATTATCTTCATTTCACAGATGAAGAAACTAAGGCACAAAGAAGTTAAGTAGCTTACCAAGATCACACAGTTAGTAAAAGACATAGCGGGGATTCAAACTCAGGCAGTATAGCTCCAGAGACACACTCTTATACATAATACTGCATCCAAGATATTACTTAATTCCAATTAAGTGTTGCCCATTTGTTCTCCAGAATGGATGAACCAGTTGAAACTCCCCGTAAGTTCTCATCCCCCATGAGAGCTCAGTCTCTTACTTTTGCCAAACCAATAGATATAAAGTAGAAACATACTAACATTTTATTTTGTTTCTCTAATTACCAATGAGGTAATATACTTATTAGTCATTCTGGTTTTCCCTTTAGATTTTACCTATTTATATTTTTTGTCCATTATTTTTTTTTTTAATTTTATTTATTTATTTGAGAGAGAGCGAGTGAGCACAGAGGGAGAAGGAGAGGGAGAAGCAGACTCCTTGCTGAGCAGAGAGCCCAATGCGGGGCTCGATCCCAGGACCCTAAGATCATGACCTGAGCTGAAGGCAGATGCTTAACTGACTGAGCCACCCAGGCACCCCTTATTTTGTGTTTTGTTTTTCTTTCTGATTTACAGTAGTTCCTTCTATATTAGTCTTTTACGTATGCAATCCCTTGTCAGTTTTAAACTTTGCAAATATTTTCTCCTCATCTATACACATCTTTAGCTTTGACTATGAGATGCTTTGTTAACCAGAAATCATTAATTATGAAGTAGTCGAAGGTATCAAATCTTATGGATTCTGCCTTGGGGATCTTAACAAACCTACCCTCACCCCAAGGTCACAATGACATTCTCTGATTTTTCCTACTGGCTTTAACATTTGCCTTTCATTTAGATCTTTAATCGCTTTGGAATGTCTTTGTTTTATATGGTTTGAGGTAGGGATCCAACTTTATTTTTATCCATACATAAGCCAATTTTCTAAGCACCATTACCTATTTTTCCTCACTAATTTGTGACATTACCTTTATCATACACCATGTCTCCTAATAGCTATGTCTATTACTAAGTTTAGTTTAGCACTAATTCATATTTTCTAAGAGGAAGGACCCATCGCTGAAGTTTTTACTCACACTGCTTTCTACATTAATGAAAAATCCAACCACCACCCTCCAAGATCCATCAGGGTTCATCATTAGCTTGTATTCTTCCCCAAAACAGAATACCCAGTTAAGAACATGATTTTGAAAAAATAAATGCATGTTTATTAAAAAAGAAAAACCCTAACCAAGAACAAACCCTGGGACACTGAAAAATCAACGCCTCCTCTGACGGCCAGCAATAGCCAGTGTTGGCACACCTAAGAAGTCCAGGTGCCTCAGTCCAAACATCAGGTCTCAAAATATTCTTCCGTAGTCAAAACTGGCATTCAAGTTGCTGGTCTGTGTGGACCCTGATTATTAGCAGACAACTGTTACAGCTGGATGTCTGGCTGCCCTATGTCCACTACCACAACCCACAGCCACCCCACAGCCTCAGAAAAGTTACATATCCTCAACACTCCACTTGTAGGCAAGTTCCTCCACCGCCTTCTTGCTGGCAAGCCTGGCAAAGCGCTTCTGCTCAAATCCATTGGATCTGAAATCAAGAGACACTGATCAGCCAGAATCCTGAACTGGACATTTATTTTTGAAAAAAGGGAAGAGTTCACAACCTAATGAATAAGGAGGAAAGTAAGGCAATCATGTGAAAATATTTAAGGCATACGCAATAGAATCAAAAAGCGAAAATACATAATTCATCCTTTTATTAGTTCTTGTTCAGACCCTTCACCACTCTTTTGACAACTGTTTCAAACATTTACCACTCCACAGGCCCAACACACTCTCAGCTGATGTCTACATCTTATAATTTATCCATTCATTACACAAGCATTTAGTGAATTCTCATTACAGGCATATCTCATTTAACTGCACTTCACCTTATTGCACACTTCACAGAATGCGTTTTTTACAAACTGAAGGTTTGTGGCAACCCTGCATCAAGCAAGTCTATCGGTGCCATTTTTCCCACAGCATTTGCTCACTTCGTGCCTCTGTCACATTTTGGTAACTCTTGCAGTATTTCAAACTGTCTCACTATTTGCTATGGAGATCTTCAATCAGTGATCTTTGATGTAACTGTTGTAAATTGTTTGTGGGTGCCACCAATTGTGCCCCTATAAAATGGCAAACTTAGTCGATAAAACGTTATGTGTTCTGACTGCTCCACTGACTGGCCATTTCCCCATCTCTCTCCCTCTCCTCTAGCATCCCTAATCTCTGAGACACAGCAATACTGAAATTAGGCCAATTAATGACCCTACAGTGGCCTCTAAGTGTTCAAGTAAAAGGAAGAGTCACACATCTCACTTTAAATCAAAAGCTAGAGAAATGATTAAGCTTAGTGAGGAAAGCATGTCAAAAGCCAAGACAGGCCGAAAGCTACACCTCTCACGCCAGTTAGCCAGGCTGAAAATGCAAATGAAAAGTTACTGAAGAAAATTAAAAGTGCTACTCCAAGGAACATACAAATGATAAGGAAGCAAAACAGCCTTACTGCTGATAATGGAGAAAGTTTTAGTGGTCTGGATAGAAGATCAAAGCAGCTATAACATTCCTTTAAGCCAAAGCCTAATCCAGAGCAAGGCCCTAACGCTTTTCAAATCTGTGAACACTAAGAGAGGTGGGGAAGCTGCAGAAGAAAAGTTTGAAGCTGGAGGGGTTGGTTCATGAGGTTTAAGGAAAGAAGCTGTCTCTATGACATAGAAGCAGAAGGAAAAGCAGCAGGTGCTGGTGTAGAAGCTGCAGCAAGTACTCCAGAAGATCTAGCTAAGACAGTCAGTGAAGGTGGCTCGACTAAACAAATTTTCGATGTAGATGAAACCGTGTTCTATTGGAAGAAGATGCGTCTAGGACTTTCACAGAGAGGGGAAGTCATTGCCTGGCTTCAAAGCTTCAAAAGACAGGCAGACTCTTGCTAAAGGGTTAATGCAGCTGGTGACTTTAAGTTGAAGCCACTGCTCATTTACTACTCCAAAAATCCTGGGGCTCATAAAAAGGAATGAGATCTTGCCATCTGCAATGACGTGGATGGAACTGGAGGGTGTTATGCTGAGTGAAATAAGTCAATCAGAGAAAGACATGTATCATATGACCTCACTGATATGAGGAATTCTTAATCTCAGGAAACAAACTGAGGGTTGCTGGAGTGGTGGGGGGTGGGAGGGATGGGGTGGCTGGGTGATAAGACATTGGGGAGGGTATGTGCTATGGTGAGCGCTGTTAATTGTGCAAGACTGTTGAATCACAGATCTGTACTTCTGAAACAAATAATGCAATATATGTTAAGAAAAAAAAAGACGAAGAAGATAGCAGGAGGGGAAGAATGAAGGGGAGTAAGTCAGAGGGGGAGACGAACCATGAGAGACGATGGACTCTGAAAAACAAACTGAGGGTTCTAGAGGGGAGGGGGGTGGGGGGATGGGTTAGCCTGGTGATGGGTATTAAAGAGGGCACATTCTGCGTGGAGCGCTGGGTGTTATGCACAAACAATGAATCATGGAACATTACATCAAAAACTAATGATGTAATGTATGGTGATTAACATAACAATAAAAAATGGGAAAAAAAATCCTGGGGCTCTTACGAATTATGCTAAATCTACTCTGCCTGAGCTCTGTAAATAAAAAAACAAAGCCTGGATGACAGCATAGCTGTTTACAACATGATTTCCCAAATATTTTAAGCCCACTATTCAGATCTACTGCTCATTAAAAAAGATTCCTTTCAAAATATTACCTCTCACTGACAATGCACCTGGTCACCCAAGAGCTCTGATGGAGATGGACAACGAGAAGAATGTTGTTTTTGTGCCTGCTAACACTATATCCATTCTGCAGCCCATGGATCAAGGAGTCATTTTGACTTTAAGTCTTATTATTTTGTAAGGTTATTGCTGCCATAGATAGTGATTCCTCTGATGGATGGGGGCAAAGTAAATTGAAAGGATTCACCATTCTCGATGCCATTAAGAACATTTGTGATTCACAGGAAGAGGTCAATATATCAACAGTAACAGGAGTTGGGAAGAATTTGATTGTAACCCTCACGTAGACTTTGAGGGGTTCAAGACCTTAGTGGAGAAAGTACCTGCAGACGTGGTGGAACCAGCAAGAGAACTAGAATCAAAAGTGGAGCCTGAAGATGGGACTGCACTGCTGCAATCTCATGATAAAACTTGAATGGACAAGGAGTTGCTTCTTACAGATGAGCAAAGAAAGTAGTTTCTTTTTTTTTTTTTTAAGATTTTATTTATTCATTTGAGACACAGAGATACAAAGAGAGAGCATGAGCAGGGGGAGAGGCAGAGGGAGAGGGAGAAGCAGGCTCCCTGCTGAGCCAGGAGCCCGATGTGGGGCTCCATCCTAGAACCCTGGAATCATGACCCAAGCCAAAGGCAGACGCTTAACCATCTGAGCCACCCAGGTGCCCCAAGAAAGTAGTTTCTTGAAATGGAATCTACTCCTGGTGAAGATGCTATGAAGACCACTGAAGTGACAACAAAGAATTTAGAATGTTACATAAACGTAGCTAATAAAGCTGTGGCGAGATATGGGAGGACGGATTCCAATTCTGAAAGAAGTTCTACTGTGGGTAAAATGCTATCAAACAGCATTGCACGCTACAAAGAAATCATTCATGAAAGGAAGAGTCATATGATGTAGCAAACCTCACTGTTGTCTTATTTTAAGAACTTGCGACAGCCACCCCAGCCTTCAGCAACCTCCACCCTGCTCAGCCAACCACATCGAGGCAGGACCCTCCACCAGCAAAAAGATTATGACTCATGAAAGCTCAAATGACAGTTATCATTTTTTAGCAATTAAGTATCTTTAATTAAGGTGTATACATTGGGGTTTTTTTTAGACATAAGGCTATTGCACACTTAGTAAACGATGGTACAGTATACATATAACTTTTATACACACTGGGAAACCAAAAAATGCATCTGTCATATTCACTTAATTGTGGTGGTCTGAAACCAGACCCCCAATTATCTCTGAGCTGTGCTTGTATATACTAGGCACTGTTTCATGAAAATGAGTATGACATAGCATCTGTTCTCATGAACTCCGACTAGTGGAGGAGACATTTATACCAATAATTAAAATAAAAAGCGACAAACTGTAGTGGAGATATGCATTGGGTATCTTAGAAAAAGAATGGGGATCTTACTCAACTTGGGAAAGGGATGAACAGGAATGGTCAGGAAAGGCTTTGTGGAGGTAGCCCCTAAGCTAAGTCTGAAAAGATAGAGCTAACCACAGGGTTGGAGGTAGGGAAGACCAGAAAGGTCAGGCAGCATTTCAGGACAGAGCACAACATGACTAACATGAACAAAGGTGCAAAAATAAGAAATAGCTTGCTACATGGAGGGAACCAGAGGCAAACGGTATGGCTAGAGCCTACTGGTATGACGAAGGGAATAGCATGAGACAGAGTTAAAAAGCTCAGATTTCATCCAGTAGGGACAGTTTTAAAACAGGAGCAGAAACCGTATTTCAGAGAGGTCACTCTGGAGGAGACTGGAGGCAGGAAAGTTACTCGAGGGTATAGGCAACAGATGATGAAAGCAATGATAAAGGAGACTTAGTGACAGATTAGCTATGTAAGAGCAAAGGAGGAGGAGGTACACTTAACTTGCAGGTTAATACTTTTAATGACCAGATGAATGAGGCTACACTAAGCAGGACAGAACATAAGAGGAAGAGCAGGTTAGGGGAGCTGAGGCTGATGAGCTCAGTTTTGAATACCTCGCATTTGAGGTGCCTCAGATATACAGCCAAAAGAGAAACCCAATGCACAGCTATATATATCAGACCGAACCGCAAACACAGATTTGGGGATCACGTACATATAGGTGGTAATTGAAGGTGTGACTAAATAAGATCCAGCCAGAAAGAGCACATGCAGTAAGAACAGCTAAGGTTAGAGATGGAGCCCCCAGCAACATTAAAGGGACACAAAGAGGAAGAGAGCCCATAAAGGTGGCCAACTAGAACCAGGAGCAGAACGTCATGAGAATTTCAAGAGTGGACCTCAACTACCTTCAATACTATGAATTCTGTCTTCTTACATAAACTTCTTGAAAGAGCCTGTATTCACTGTCTACACTCCCTCACTTTTCAGTCACTCCTTAACACATTAAACCCTGGCTTTTATCTGACCATGCCCCAGAGTTAGTTCTCTTTCAGGTCACCAGTGACCTTCCTTATTACCAAATCCAGTGATTTCTTCCTCTCCCCAAGTCAGTTGCCAGGTCCTGCCACCTTCTCCCCTGAACACTTGCCCACCTCCTCTTCTCTCCATTGCACTCCCACTGCCACAGTTCAGACCTCTGTCTCCTTTACCCGGACCTATTTCAACAGCCTTGTACCTTGTCTCTCCACTTCCAGGCCTGTGCCTTTCACATGCTTCACATCACTGCCATAATGATACGTCTATCTAAAATGCAGAGCTGCTGTTAATCCTTCAGTGGCTCTCCTCTGCCTTTAGAGTGAAGACCACACTCTTCAGAAAAGCTTCCAAAGCCTACTG